CTCTGTAAACCATGTTTGATTTTATTGTCACTTACTTTGATGAAAAGCGATAAAGCTTTTCCTTTCTCCCCTCCACCTTTTATTTATGTGTCATCCTCGCTGCGTTTTTGTTCAGTGGAGCGTGTCGTGGGAGGGTGGGGGGGGTCGATGGGGGGGTTGACAGGCCTCTGTTATTCCCAGGAGAGATGCAATATTCCTGGGAATAGCCAGATCCATGACTTCCTTCTTTAATAAACTTCACTGCCACCTTATCGGGATGCCTTTCAGCATCTATCTTTTTTTTAATTTTTGATTTTTTTCACAGAGGTTTTGCCACGGTCTCCTCACTTTGCTCTTCTCTGAGGAGCAGGTTTAGGTCTTTAGGTCAGGGCTTCAGCTTTTTCTGCCAACAAGGAGGAGGACGTTCCCCTCTGCAATATTGAGCACTGTTTCTAGGAGAAGAAGAAAAAAACACACACACACAAACACAGCGAACATTGTACCTGCAGTTTGTTTGTCAGTCGGTTGGTAAAACTTTCTTGAGCTCCCGTCACAAAAGAGAGTTCAATATTTTCACGGTTTGGACGCTAACGTTGAGCGACGTCTCCGATCCTTTTGTGTTGATGTGTCGTGGTAACGGACTCTGCTTTTAGTTTGTCACCTGCTGAAGTTCAAGGTCGTGACCTCTCGTTGTTCCCTTTGTCGTCCTCCAAACTTTTGACGTCGTCTGAATTTGGACCTCAGTGTCTCTGACGGCCACGTCTGTTACCGATCGTTTGTCGGTTCCGTTGCTACGTTCAGATAACCTCAGCAGCTGGTGTTTTTATGAAGGAGCTGAGGAGCAGCGCTCGCTCGTCGGCAGCAGTCGATAGTCGGGGTCAGAAGGACGAACGCTTGGAGAGTTCGGTCCTGTGGCAGAAGCGTAGATTTGGCAGGTGAGATGTTCTGTTGAACTGGACGGGAGATTAAAACAAAATCCTACTGCCAAACGGGAACAACCTCACACTCATGCGGCTGAAGTCGACTCAGACGTCACTCCAGGAGTCTTCGACAAGCCTCGTTTTTTTTTTATTGTTTTTAACTGATTCTGTACATTCATTTTTAGCCAAATAATTTTTCAGTGCTTTATAAACAGCGAGGATTGTACATATGAACTACTCTTAGCAGGGGAGGCTCGTACAGAGCCCACTTAACGGTCCACCTCGTGGGTCCTTCTAGAAATCTAAATCTTGTTAGACTTGGACTGTTGCCTTTCCAAGTGTCGAAGCGACGAGAAGCTGCTCGTGAAATTAAAAAACAAAAACAAAAACCACGAGCGGTTTGGCTGAATCTTCGACCGGGAAGGCAGTGCTTCAGAGTTTTTCTCATTTTCTTCAGTCTTTGATAACGTTGTCCATCTCGGTGTTTCTTGGTGTGCAAAAATGTAAAGAAGATGAAAAAAATATACAACACAGAATACCTCAGAAAAGAAATCCATGTAACCTTGACAACCTCCACATATTGTCAGATCCTCTTCACCCGCACCCCCCCCTCTTCTGAACACTTTTTTTTCACGTCTCCAATCTTTAGGTTTTGTCTTTCTCCTCTTTTTTACCCTGCGGTCGGTAGCAGCGGTGGAGGTTCCATAGCCTTTAAAGTTTTTTATTTGTCTCTGTGTTTGATTGTTGTCATGAGGAACTTTCACATTTAAACATTCACGAAGGCCATTTGGTTTCAAACATACATAAAATGGCACAAAATAGAGAGACCATGAGATTCAATTCCTCCTCTATTGAAACCGACGGTGGGTTTTTAAGCGAAGCCCGACACCTGAACACTTGAAAACCAATCAGTCCCTGCATCGTTCCGTTTTACGCATACCTCTTTATCTACTTATCTACTCTTTTATCATTGTTGAAAAAAAAACTGAATGTAAAATATAAAAAAAAAAACGCAAACACAACTAACCTCTAATTTAACTATACATATTTAAGAATAAGAAATACTCTATATGTGCACATAGATATACCTATACAAGCCCCACACAGACATAAACGCAAATGCATATGTATATAAAGATCTCTAATGTCATATACTTTTATCTTGAAAAAAAGGAAGAGGACGAGCCTTTTCCGTTGATGATTCAGGGAAACACTACAGGAGTCCAGTGCAGTACGTTGGCTAGAAGTCGCTTTCACTCTGTTGCTTTCGGTGTTTGTTTGCTAACCTCGTTCTCGCTTGTTATTTCCCTCATTATGTAGCATAAGGCAAAGGTGACTTGATTTGTTTTGTTTTTTCAAACAGAAGAAAAAGTAGTTGAACTAGAAACAAGTGTATTTGTAGTGGTTTTCAATCCTGATTCTGTGGAAATGGGAGGCGAGCAGTTTGGTTTGGGTTTTTTTTCTTTCATTCTCTCTTAAATGGACACTGGAAAGACAGTATATCTTTGACCATGACTTGGAGGAAGAGTCGCACTGGGTTTAAAGGAGGGTGGTGGAGGGCAGGGGAGGGGAGGGGCCGGGGGAGGAGGGCTTGTACATAGAACTGCTTTACGTGTCGGTCCTCGTCTGTCATTTTCGCAGGCGAGGAGGAACTGTACAGTGAAGGCACCGAGACGGAACGCTCCGTGTTTTTATGTCGAGAAAAGTAAAAACTGAAAGACTGTTTTAAGTGAAGGAGACTGAAGGGGTGAGGAAGGGGAGAAACGGGGGAGGAGGGGGGTGATCCTAGTAACCATAACGTTCGGGTTCTCCGCAGAACCCAACACGAAGCAAAGTCACTGTATAAAAATTAAAAGAAAAACAAAAAAAAACAGCACCCCCCGTCGTCGTCACTGGGAGCGACGGTGACAGAACGTTTTTACGAACGCTGAGCCTCTTGATATTTTTTGCATGCTGCTGTACATACCTCTGTATCGGATCCTTTTGTTCCAAAAGGCCGACCGATCCAAAAGCGCTTTTCTTTAGATGTTGTCCTCAGGACAGATTCTGATGTTTTTGAATATGAAATATTTCCCCCCCTGAGAAAAAAAAAAGAAGAAAAAAAAAACATCCCTTTTCCTGCGGTGGCGGAGCAGGTGGAGCACCTAAGGTGTTTGTTTGTTTGTTTGTTTGTTTGTTTGTCACAGCAACAGCTTTCGTAGTGGTTTAATGGCTAAAGCTCTTTTGCAATCACCCCCCCCCCATGATGTAAAGTAACTTTTAAAAACAAAAAAAGAGAAAGGTGCGTATGAGTGTGACTCTGTGCGACTGTGTAAGACATAATGTGAAACGCTTGCTCTTTTTGACTTTTGTTCCATCCGTTTTGTTCAACTCAAACGTTTTATCCACGGAGCCGTCCTCTTTTTTTGGAAACATAAATCTACCTGTGCACTTACGCTAAATCAGTACCGCAGTCTGAAAAAGTGCATCTCAAAGAGTGGCTTGACTGTCTTACAGTAGATGATGCCCCT